TTCAAAGAATTAATGCTTTTTCACTATATAATCTATAGAGCCCCGCCCTAACACCAGAACCCCTGACCCTGGGGCCATGAAATTCACAATTTTGGAAGAGGCACTCTTGCTCATCATACCTATGTACTTAGTTCTTTTAATTAATACCCGGGAGCAGAGAAGAAGATTTTCAAAGAATTAATGCATTTTCACTATATAATCTATAGAGCCCCGCCCTAACACCAGAACCCCTGACCCTGGGGCCATGAATTTCACAATTTTGGAAGAGGCACTTTTGCTCATCATAACTATGTACTTAGTAACTTTATTTAATACCCAGGAGCAGAGAAAAATTTCAAAGAATTAATGCATTTTCACTATATAATCTATGGAGCCACGCCCTAACACCAGAACCCCTGACCCTGGGGCCATGAATTTCACAATTTTGGAAGAGGCACTTTTGCTCATCATAACTATGTACTTAGTAACTTTATTTAATACCCAGGAGCAGAGAAGATTTTCAAAGAATTAATGCATTTTCACTATATAATCTATGGAGCCACGCCCTAACACCAGAACCCCTGACCCTGGGGCCATGAATTTCACAATTTTGGAAGAGGCACTCTTGCTCATCATAACTATGTACTTAGTTGATTTATTTAATACCCAGGAGCAGAGAAGAAGATTTTCAAAGAATTAATGCATTTTCACTATATAATCTATAGAGCCACGCCCTAACACCAGAACCCCTGACCCTGGGGCCATGAATTTCACAATTTTGGAAGAGGCACTCTTGCTCATCATAACTATGTACTTAGAAACTTTATTTTATACCCAGGAGCAGAGAAGAAGATTTTCAAAGAATTAATGCACTTTCACTATATGATCTATATAGCCCCACCCTGGGGCCAGAACCCCTGACCCTGGGGCCATGAATTTCACAATTTTGGTAGAGGGCTCAATGCTTATTACAATGATGCCAACAGTTTGACTGCTAGATGTCCAGGAGTAAAGAAGATTTTTAAAGATTGCATTATTTTTGGTGGTTTTAGCCCCACCCCTCAGGCCCCAGGGGGGCAGGGACCATGAAATTCACAATTTTTGTTCCCCTTCACCTATAGATGCTATATACCAAATTTGGTTGAAATTGGTTGAGCGGTTCTAGAGAAGAAGTTAAAAATGTTCAAAAGTTAACGCACGATGGACGACCCACGACGACGGACAAAAACAGATAGCAATAGGTCACCTGAGTGACTCAGGTGACCTAAAAAGGCCCTGCTGAAAAATTACTCATCTGGGCAGCATGGGCATTCAGAAATTTGAACCTGATATTTGAATTTCTTTGCAGATCTTCATTATACATGTAACTATCACTTTTCAAAAGATAAAAAAGTTGTTTTTTGAGAGATGACAAACAAGATATTTACCTTTGGGAATGGGTTCTATTGGGGTCCATTTGGGTTTATAATCTTGGTCACAAATATACTGATCAAATAGTCCCTCTGTAACAGAAGAGAAAAAAACATATTCATCATTTAGGTTCTGTAAATTAATTAACTAAAAAAATTGAATTTTTTGAACTGCAATACTTTTTCAAGTAAGACCATTGTACATGTTGTACAAAAAAAAAATATATTTAGAAGAAATAAAGAAGGGGGGTTATTTTTCTGACCTTCTCACACATGTGCATCTGCACCGAGTGCATGTGTGGATAATTAAAAAAGAACTTGCAACAAAAACAAACCTTCTGCTGCTTGCCATAGTAAGTCTTCACTCTTCTCAAAATCACCATGTTTTACCTTGAAAACAACAAATCAAGGGCATGGATTGTACATTGACTGCAAACATACTCTTTTCCATGGGGTCATAATTCCACAGAATCACAATATTATTTCTGTTCAACCCGCAGGTAAAAAATTACGCGGATTTCTTAGATTGCCTCTATGTGCCTTGAATATACTTAAGTACACTGGGAAATCATGGAAAATTTGTGTCCATGCACATAGACTTAATTAATACCATGAAGAAAAAAGTACTTCTACAGTATTCAATTTCTAACCAAGCATCATTTTAAATGCAATTTATTTATGAATCCATCCTTAATTTTTTTTTCTTGGAAAAAAAACATCCTATTTTCATTTGAAACTCTGTGTGCTCTACAAGTTATACAATAGAGCAGTAAATAGAATCTTACCAGCATAGAGTGAAGCTCTGTGAGTATGGGATGCTCCAGGGAGACTTTGGTTTTTTTCTGGAGGGCCTCATAAGCCTCGGTATATTGTCTCTGCCTGAAGTGCTTCAAACACAACCTAATGGCCTCCTTCTCTCTAAACTATTAATCGAAATAACAGATAACAATAAAATAAAGTTACATTGTTATAGTTCAAATACGTATGCAATTTCTCTAATGACCCTCCCCCTGTTCCACATTCTTAAAGAGATATTTCATAGAAACAAAACATATTGACATATATTACAGTATATCAAAAGAAATATGATTGAACAGGAGGCATGCTATGCCTCAGCCCTGTATAATTTCCCCTTCATTACAGCATAAAAGAAAATGAAATCTGCATCAAATCCTGATTCAGTGTTTCTTCGATGTAATTTCAAGCATTTTTTATTGACATTTGACACTTACTGTGACCAGCCATTGCAGACATGGTTGAACAACATCCCAATCACTTTCTCCCCGAAGTTTCACATACCAGATACTAAAATTAAAACAGGACGGACCCCATGCCTGAAGGGGAACTGTAAAATAAGCAATAAATAGGGTATGTAGTGCAAAAAATATAATAGTAATAATAATGCTCAGAATTTTTTTCTGATTTCTCTAGCACATGGTGTATATAAATTATCTCATTCACAAAATGAAAATAAACATGTTTCATAAAGACTCAGCTACACTATCTCTGATTACACCTATATAGTATATATATCCTAAAAACTTTTTCTTTAAATAAGTTTAAAAAATATTCCTGCTAAGTGCTTGTCCTCAAGATGCTTCAAAGCTATTATCAGGAGTACCAGTAAAATCAGAATCTCACATTAATCAATTACCAATACATACCAATCTTTATATATCTACACGGAAAGACATTTTCATGCAATTCCTTCTTAAGGGGAAATGTTTCTGGAACATGGTCATTCTTCAACCCACTACAATGAAGAGTTATAAAAACAGTAAAAAGTCTGATTCCCATCAGACAAGCAAATGATTTAGAAAACCTTAATGTACATAATTGCAGCAGAAAAACGGCTTCAAGTTACTAAATTCCTAGTACAAACTATGTTCACATAAAGTATACAAGGAAAATAACATTTCACATGCAAAAGATTTTGAAAAATAAAATTAAAAAAAGGTGCACAAACATTTATGTTATAAAATCCATTGAAGAGTAAACGTTAAATTTTTTTGGTAATTATGCTCCTCACATTAAAAACATCTATTGCAAATACACATAAAAAGATACACATGTATTCATATATCTTACCCTTCAAGTAACTCTATCATATGTTCATCATTCAGACCTCCAAACACCTTGAACTTTTTCAGATTACATACATGAGCCTTCTCATATTTCCCAAAGGTTATACAGTCCACAATTGCTGGTTTTTCAAGCTTTAGCATTAGGAACTTCAAAATAAATGATCAGTAATATACTTATACTTGTATATAAATGACAGACAAATCTGAAGTGGACTGTGGAAAACACATTAAGTAAATTTGTCATTTTTTCCCCTTTATATAGATCAATTTTATGGTTCAGTGGCACATGAACATGAATTTTTAGTGCCAAAATCATTAATAGCAAGTGCAGCGAGCGCTGCAAAGCATGAATCGCACTGCAAGCTCTAACGACAATGTGTGGGTTAGGAGAAAATTTGGACTTTACACATTGATCCAAAAGATTTTTTTCCGCAGTTATTTGGAGACCCACAATGCAACGCATCCCACTGCTAACTTCATTCTCTTGGTAACAACAATTAAAAATTCACAAAAATAAATCCACCTTGATATTATGGATATTGCCTACAGATTGTAGATTTGATGTTCCTTAAAATTGCTAAAATGATGCACTTTTCAAACTTCATTCAAGGAAATGCAGCTAACATCATGTGACATCACAGTCTAGACATTCCAAATGTCTAGTGCAGTTTGAAAAGGAGATGTTAGTTATAGTGAATATTCAGTAATACACAAATGCGCTTGCCCCAACAGTTGCACAGTCAACATATTATCTTCCAAATCTCTACGTGAAGTATTCACTCCATTTTGCTGCATTACATGTATGACTAATGGGATGTATTCTAACTGTAAGGAAGACCTGTTCAAAGACATATATTTAGATAAATTCCAACACCTACCTGTGGTGGATGGTTGGAGTCTGATGACCAGCGTGAAGACTGATCTTTAGGATTATCACTGTATATGTTTCTAAAAAGAATCATATGTTTTAAATATTTAAATATTTTAACGTAGATCTGAAGCATATTTCATCATTACAAGTAAGACAAATATTATTATTACTGTGCAATTGACTACGAACTCAATCATTTGGTATCACATGCACAAATAAATAGGTAAAAAATAAATTCAGATTCTGAAAATTTATGTAAGAATCTATAAACTAAAAAGTTCCCTTACTCTGGAACATAGTTGTACGAAAAACTGGACCATTTACTGATAGTATACTTCAATATATCCTTTTCTTCGCATTTATCTGCCATTCTTGTTAAATTGTTTGTGTATCTTCAAATTCAAGACTGTCGAACCCGATGAAAATCCCCTCAGACCGGGATTAAAAGAGTTCTGGATTTAATAAAAATATTGTAAAAAAATAAATAAATACAGAATATTAAAGAAGATACTTAATAATGTGGCAAACAAATATTAAACGAAAATTTCATTTAAAAAAAAAATAGTCTTCCCGGAAAATTTCTTGATGGCGTGCTTGACTTTTGAGTTTTTCGTGTAGCTTTGTATTTCCAGTTTGAGGGTTAACCCACCGAGAAGATTCACCAGAAACACGTCCTAGAAAATGTTAAAATTACACAGCTTAAAATATTGTCTTGGGAAGAGCCACTTCAGGCTTTTACAGGTTATTGTATTTCTAATAGGATGCTACATTTAAGTGTTTTCACATTCAAGAGTCCATTCGGACATATATTTTTATTGCACTTCAACAGTTCCAGTAGTTGATCTAGGTGTTGCCCTTTTGTTTTTCAGCCTCTGACATATTCTGTAGACAGTGCATTCAAAAGTTACAGGTAGAGTATGAATAAATACTATATGGCACGAATTGCAATTTCTGTATAATTACAACTACAAACTGAATTGATTACTTTTAATGTTATTATTATTATCATTTATTTTATTTATTTTTTACATAAATGACTTCACCTTGCTACTTCAACATCTGATTTAAATGAAAAGTTGAGAAACTTGCAAAAAGTTACACAAATCCTTGTATGCACTAGTGCAAATGATGTCCTAGTCTAGAACTTATCCAAGCTAAAATATTCAAAATATATCCAATGTAAATAGTTTTTTATTCCAATAAAATTCAAGCTTTCTGCAAATTTCTGAACTCTTAGGTCAAGTAAAGAAAACTCAAATACATTTTTTTTTTTGAAAAAATCTATAATGTAATTAATCAAAAAATCAAAAGTGGTGCAATACATTTTGATAATTAAATGACTCCAAAATTATGTTATATTCATGCTTACCATAAGAAAATATTTTTTCAGACATTTCATTTCCAAATTAGAACCACTCTTGCTACAAAAAGTCCTGAAAGTTTCCGAAAAACCATAGTTGTCGTCTTTGCACAAGTTATCTTGCTGAAATTAAGTGACCCATAACAAAGTTGTGTAATCTGACATAACTTTGGCACAATTTGAAATTTTTATGCCCCCGTATTGAAGATTCGGGGGTATATAGTTTTTGCCCTGTCCGTCCATCTGTTTGTCTGTCTGTCCACAAAAACTTTAACATTGCCCATAACTTTTGATTGGTTGGAGCTATGGCTTTCATATTTCACATGTGTATTCCTTGTGACAAGACCTTTCTTTGGGTACCACCATATTTGACCTTTTGACGTTGACCTTGGAGTTTGACCCAGTTTTGCAAAATTTTTCCCAACTTTAACCTTGACCATAACTTTTAAACAATTGGTGCTAGGGCTTTCATATTTCACATGTTTAATTCTTGTGACAAGACCTTCCTTTAGATACCAATAACTTTGACCTTTTGACCTTGGACTTTGACCAACTTTTGGAAACCTTAAGCTTGGACACAACTTTTGAAAAGTTGTTGCTAGGGCTTTAATATTAAAAATGTTTTTTCCTTGTGACAATACCTTCCTTTGGATACCAACAATTATAATCTATTGACCTTGACCTTGGAGTTTGACCTACTTTTGAAAAACTTTATCCTTGGTCATAACTTTTGAACGATCGGTTCTTCAGCTTTCATATTTCACCTGTATATTTCTTGTGAGAAGGCCTTTCCATAGGCACCATTAATTTTGACCATTTGATCCTGACCTTGATGTTTAACTTACTTTTGAAAAACTCTAACCTTTTCCATATCTATTCAATGGTTGCTGCTAGGGCTTTCATATTTCACAGGTATATTCCTAGAGATAAGACCCTAATTTGGGTATGAACATATTTGATTTGGATTTGAGAAGGTTTAACCTTTGCTATAAGTTGCCATATGGGGGCATCAGTGTTTCACAAACACATCTTGTTTTTTTTACAGTTCTGCATCAGACAGAGACTTTCTACACAAAAGCATTTTGCCCACAGACCACTTTCAGGCCAGTCTTCCAAGACTTCCGATCCCCCAATTAGAGGATACCTTACACAAATATCTTGAGAGTCAACGACAAATACTGACTGATGATGAATATGATCAAACAGCAGACATTGTGAACAATTTCAAAGCCAATGAAGGTCCAGGTATGGTAACAATTCTCTGGTGAGAAAAAAGTTATTAGTTTTTACTCTTGGAATATGATACAATGGAAAGAATAGAATTACATTTATTAAGTTTTTAAATCAATATACTTGTAAACAAAACTGCTTTGAACAGTTGCATGCAGATATTTTATGAGATATTTTAAAACCAATGAAGGTCCAGGTATGGTTACAGTTCTCTGGTGAGAAAAGAGTTATTAGTTTTTACTATTGGAATATGATACAATGGATAGAATAGAATTACATGTATTATTATTTTAAATCAATATACTTGTAAACAAAACTGCAGATATTTTATGAGATACATAAAGGATCCCTTTATCAATTTTTTTTTTGTAAGTTGATGCATACAGATATAATGCTGACCTCAGATCCCTGTCATTTCTGTATGAAACATTCATTGCAGCTTATAACTAAATTTTTCTTCCAAAGAGTTAAGTACCTGACTGTGTTGGTAATTCTTATTTTTGTAGACCTACAGAAGAGATTAGTAGCTAAAGATAAACAAAATAAACACACAAGTTACATCACAAGTAAGTAGTGAGAGAAAATTTCTAGAAAATCAGAAAATATATTTTTTTTTCTGACCTACTTAAGTTCCCTGCATAGAGCTTTTTCATGGTCATTTTTTTCTCAAGAAAATTCCTTCTCAATTTGAAATTTGTAATTTCATGTTCCTTCTGTCTGTTTATTATTACATGTATAATAATATATTAATGTTACTACAATGTCATTTTTTATTTAGGTCACCTGAGTCACTCAGGTGACCTATTGTGATCTGTTTTTGTCTGTCATCGTGCGTCTTGTGTCAACATTTGAACATTTTTAGCTTCTCTTCTGAAACCACTTAACCAATTTCAACCAAATTTGGCATATAGCATCTATGGGTGAAGGGGAACAAAAATTATGAATTTCATAGTCTTTGCCCCCCTAGCACCTGAGGGGTGGGCTAGAACCACCAAATTTAATGCAATCTTTAAAAATCTTCTCCTTTACTACTGGACATTGTTGGCTGTGACTGTTGGCATGATTATAATAAGCATTGAGCCCTCTACCAAAATTGTGAAATTCATGGCCCCAGGGTCAGGGGTTCTGGGGCTAGGGTGGGGTTATACAGATCATATATTGAAAGTGCATTTTTTCTTTGAAAAATCTTCTCTGCTCTTGGGTATTAAATAAACTAAGTACATAGTTATGATGAGCAAGAGGTCTCTTCCAAAATTGTGAATTTCATGGCCCCAGGGTCAGGGTTTCTTGTGTTAGGATGGGGCTCTATTGATTATATACTGTAAGTGAAATGCATTAATTCTTTGAAAATCTTCTTCTCTGCTGTAGGGTATCAAATTAACTAACCATGTATATAGTTATGGGAAGCAAGAGTGCCTCTTCCAAAATTGCGAATTTCATGGCCCCAGTGTGAGTGGTTCAGGTGTTAGGACGGGGCTCTCTTGATTATATAGTGAAAATACATTAATTCTTTGAAAATCTTCTTCTCTGCTCCTGGGTATGAAACAAACTTACTAAGTACATAGTTATGATGACCAAGAGTGCCTCTTCCAAAATTTTGAGTTTCCTGGACCTAGGGTCAGGGGTTCTGATGTTAGGACAGGGCGCTATTGATTTTATAGGGAAATACATTAATTCTTTAAAAATCTTCTTCTCTGCTCCTGGGATTAAATAAACCAACTAAGAACATAGTTATGGTGAGCATGGGTGCCTTATCAGAAATTGTGAATTTCATGGCCCCTGGGTCAGGGGTTCAGGTGTTAGAGTGGGGCTTTATTGATTATATAGTAAAATTAAATTCGTTGAAAATCATCTCTGCTCCTGGGTATTAAATAAATTAACACAAGATGAAACACTTCCTTTAAGTTTGGCTTAATGGTGGCTTATAGGTCCTTAATGATGGCTTAATGGTTGTCTTTAAGTCACCAGTAAGCACCCCCATACCAAAATTAAGTACAAATTAAGTACAAAAAAAAGTACGAAAAAAGGTCACAAAAAGTATACTTTTTTCGACTAAATTTGGAACAAGGGATTTGGTCGTTCCAAATGAGAAAAAAAAAGTATACTTTTTTTGTGCTTTATGAGAACTTAGGTTCTTGGTTACAAAAAAAGATCATAAAAGTATACTTTTGGTACATTTCTATATTTGAGAAAAGTACATAAAAAGTATAATTTGAAGTACAGAAAAAGTATATTCTTAAAACTAACATACAAAAGTACAAAAAAAGTACATCTGGAAAAAAGCACAAAAATGTATGAAGTACAAAAAAAGTATACTTCCAGAAAGAAGTACAGAAATGTATGAAGTACAAAAAAGGTATTCTTCCAGTACAAAAAAAGTATACTTCCAGAAAAAATTACAGAAATGTATGAAGTACAAAAAAAGTATACTTCCAGTACAAAAAAAGTATACTTCCAGAGAAAAGTACAAAAATGTATGCAGAAAAAGTATAAAAATAGTACTCCTTTAGATTGATGCTTTAAAAAGTACAATAAAATGTCAAAATTAAATGAAAGTATGAAAAAAGTATACTTTTTAGTTGGTACAAAAAAAGTAGGGAAAAAGCACCCCCCCCCCAAAAAAAAATAAATATATAGCAAATAGCCCCCCCCCTTTTTTTTAATAAAAAAAAAATACATATATTATTTTGAAAAAACAATGAAAAACCTCAAAAATGATCATTAAGCTCAGGTATACCAAAATAAAACCAATTAAAGGTACAAAATTGTATTTCGAAAGCATGAAATTTTAACAAAAATATTAAGTATAGGGAAAAATATCAGAGAAAACGGAAATCGGGGAAATCTCTATGAAATATGCTACAATTCAAAAATCTTAAATGCTAGCTTTTATCAAAATTCAAAAGCATGAAACCCCACATCTTCATTACATTATACATTATTTTCAGTACTAATCTTCCATAAATAATTTAAAGAATATATTGGAACATTAAATCATCAACAATATTATAATTCTGTAAATAACAAGATCTGATCCTTTATAGTCTAGTAACTTATAATGCATGGTTATGTCACTGATTGATCACGCTCACAGATCATATCTGCTCCTTCACAGTCTAGTCATCCCGTTTGAATTTTCTTGCTGACACAGTTCAGTGCACTAACCTTTGACCACATAGCAGTGTTAATGTCACCCATTTTTTTCACTGATCTTCATTTGAATATGCTAAATGATTTCAGCCTTCGAGTACTTTTCCTTGGGTTCTGCAAAAAAAAAAAAAAGTTAAATAATCAAAGCATATGTTCTCAAAAAGCAGAATTCCTGTGCTTAATACATGGCAGACTGACATATAGAATCATATATTCAGTTTAATGTTCAAATAACTTGAAAACCAATTAAAACTCAAAATTCTTATGTGAAAATCCAAAAAATTATCGATTATCGATTATCCCTATCACTTATAAAATTTTAAAATAAGTCTTTTCAGTGCATGAGTATATTAAGGACAGACAAGCCTACTAATTTGATATGTCTATTTTGTATTTTACAGAAATCAAATTAGATTAATATGTACTTACTGATGATAAGATACACTTAAATTGTTGAAGCATTTTCCTATGGCTCTGCATGTTAGTGAGATGCTCATGGCAAAAAACGCATGTATGCACTGCTGAAAATAATAAAAGAAAAATCAGGTAACTTGAATGTTTAAGAACTTCTCTGGCATTATATCCACACACAAACATTTCATTACTTTCATTTTTTTAAAACCTGACGATGATTTTGAAAAATTGTAAGGTGAGTTTGATATCCCTGTCTAAATTCCTAATGTTATATGAGCAAATAGAAAAATAATCATGTGTCTCAATATTATGTTTATATAGCCCCCCCCCTTTTTTTAAGTTCTTTTCACCCTGGATTGATTGATTGTATCTTGTTTTACGTTCTATTCGAGAATTTTTCACTCATATAGAGACGTCACCATATACCGGTGAAGGGCTTCAAATTTTGACCTTTACTCGGCACTCCGGGCCATTGAGCAGTGAGGGATCTTTATCGTGCCAACGCCTGCCGTGACACGGGGCCTCGGTTTTTAAGGTCTCATCCGAAGGACCTGCAACTTTCACTTCAAAGTGCCGAGCGCATGGCGAAGGAACAGTTGCTACCTATTTTTTATCGACTTAGGTCTGTCGCGGCCGAGATTCGAACTCACGACCTCCCGATCACGGAGCGAGCGCTCTACCGACTGAGCTACCGTGAACGGTTTTTCACCCTGGAAAGATGATCAGTATAACTATCCAGTTCAACTTTAAATTTTTCAGATACATGTAAATGCTGATACTTTTGCTTGTTTAATCAACCACATGATTATTACTACCCCTTCAACCCCCCCCCCCCCCCCCACCACCACCACCAACCACAACACACACACTATCCTCCCTTTTAACATGTTTAACAAAAATCCATTACTTTTACAAACTTTAATCTGACAAAATTCAGTAGATTTGATATGTATTTTTTTTTTATCATGCCAAGACTTAGCTAGGCTACAGTAAAGGTTCCCAGATACTGACCAATGCCGACTGTATTATAAACCTATTGCATGAATTATACTGAAATATTTGAAGAATTGAATATGTCAAGGAACTAAATGATTCATGTTACATTGAGCCAGAGAAAAAGCATGATTCAGCATGTCAACTTAAGTTTATATACATCGTCATACTGATAAAAACAAACCAGAAATCGAAGACACATACTATATGTCCACAATTACGTAAAATCTACATTGAAATTCTCAACTGAATAAATTTCTTAAGTGGTAAAATGCATTTCCTGCAAACAACATATTAAATTTAAATATGAATATAGTCTTACCGACTTCTTTATCTCCTTTTTGTTCTCGTCATTTCCATCCAACCAATTTTCAAATCGTCTCTGAAAAAATCCGCGCTTCGTTGTTGACCAATCGTTGACTTCGTAAGAGTCACGTGATCAAAAAAGGAAATAAATAATTACTAAATTAGTTCATAAAAACACCAAAAATTCCCGTAATAATGTTTTTTAGTCATCAAATTTATTTTAAAGCCGTTTTCTGTGTAATACTCGATAGGTAGCTTTACCATCATCGTGATCGTCAGTTCGTTTTATGATCGTCGTCGCCATCTTGTTTGTTTGTTTGTTTTTTTTTAACTGAAATTATTTTATTTAATAAAGCCACAAGAAATTCTGAATGCCCTTGTTAACTGCTAAAACATCCTAATCAAACTGGCAGTCTTCATTCTCAATGTCGAAATATCTGTTACAGCATGGGATTTTGCACATGCTACTTATATAAATCGTGTACATGTAAACATGATGAAGTTCCTTGTGATAAATAAAACGATGGGCATGGTGCATCTTGGAGGCTTTTGTATTTATATTCGTGCCTTCCTATTTCCGTTTTTAATTATTAAAATATGTAACACTATAAACCCTATATTTTACTTTTATTAATTTAGCCCGCGTTTCTCATTAATCATGCTAATCCGTTTTATTTACCATCATAGCCAAATTTATTACAGG